TAGCATATGCATCACGTATACTGAATTATATAGTAAACAAGCTTGAGTTTTTTAGGGTTATATATATATATATATGGTTTATAATGATTTTAGGCAGATAAATCACATGTGGGTTTTCACCAATAGTCTCTAACTTCTTGATCTGTGGCGAACCCAGATGAAAATACTATCTGTGTATGCATACAATCAATATAATTAATTATCAATGTGTTCTAAGAATAATTAGAAGAACACTTGAAACATAATCAACATCAACACCTTTTGATACATGTAACTGATGGTACGTATTATTTTCTTGTTGTTTACATATATACATACACATATATAAAAGGGTATGTGTATACGTATAAGCTAACCCAGAAGAAAACAAAGTAATACTCATCACAATTATAAACTCAAGAGAAGAAGACAATTATAAATAATAATAATAATAATGGGAGAAGGGTCCCAAAATCAAGACGTCACGCCCCTTTGCTTGTTTCCATTTATATGATTCGTCTTTTCTTTAATTACCTTTTGTTCACTAATCAAATCCATATTCTTTCTCCCTTTACATATATATATATATATATAATTTACAAATATATATATATATATATGTATATATATATATAATGGTGTAATGGATGAATGGATTCTTTGTTCATGATGAATTTTTGGCCGCCCAATCATGTTGGTTCTCTTGAAAGTGATTCCTTTGCTTCTTCCTTAAGCCATTTTCATCTCTATGTCACCATCAATTTGTGCCTTTCCTATTTCGTATTTTCATTCTTTTTTTATCTCTTTTCCCTTTTCTAGTTAATAATTAATCAACCATTATATATATATATATATATATATATATATATACATATATGTTCTATACATCATCCATATATATAAAACTTATATATTTATAAAACCCATATATTAGCTTGAGTCACTCGATCACCAAATTCATATACATGTTCTATGTATATGGGTTTTTATATTTTAATGGTGAGAAATGATTAAACCATTGTATATACATATATATGTTCTATGTATCATCCACATATATATATATATAACTTTATAAAACCCATATATTAGCTTGAATCACTCGATCACCAAATTCATATACATGGGTTTTTATATTTTAGTGTTGAGAAATGATTAAATTCAGCAATTATCACATTTAATAAATTATTATATTTCATAATTATAATTATAACCATATATACTTATACGTCATCTAATAATTTCATTATCCCATAATCATATTAGGCTAAATTTTTCACCATATAATTAATGCTATTTATAGAAGTAAAATATATATATATATATATATATCTTTGTCAACTTTTTTACTACATACAATAATTTTTTTTATTTTAAATTTAACCCTCACGTGGTATTAATTCCCACAATCCCAAATTTTTTTCTTGAATATATAATTTATATTCTGTAAACTAAAGTTTTAACTTTCATCCCATCATATTAAATTATTATTATACACACACACACACACCCATATATATATATGCGTGCGTGTGTGTGTATATATATATATATATATATATATATTAATATATTCAACTGTTGTGAATTCGAATTCATTGAATAACTCACTAAATAATCAAATCATATTTTGCATGCATGAAAAAGAAAATATATTTAAACAATCATGTAACGCGTTTTGTCAATTAAAGCGGGCAAGAAATTGGGAAACAGTTTTTACTGGCGGTTTTTTACCGCCGTTAAAATTACTGCGGTAAATTTACACTGTTTAATTTTTGGATTAAATTTTACTAATTAAAAATTATAAAAGTGAAATCCCAAAAATGCCCTTAATCATATGGATGAATATGAATTCGTATATATATATATATATATATAAATGGCATACAGCTTTTGATCTTGATGTTTGTCGCTATAGCGTTCCAGGGCGTGCCACGTCGACGTTTTGTCAAAACGAAGCTCCTCCCTCCCTCCCTCCCTTTCATACATTTTCCCTTCATATATTTACATACATATATAGAATATATGTATGTATATGTAGGTGTATGCATATATTTAACGTACTCTTAGTACTGGGTTTTTTTTTTTTTCTTCTTCTTTATTTGTTTTCAGAGAACAGTGGGTACTACGGCATTTTTATTCTATACATACATCGTTTCTTTCATTAACCTACAACAATTTGTACATACAAAATCTTCATATAATCCACTCGAATCGTATTCTTTTCAAATTTTTTCTTTCTTGATTTTATTAGTTTCATTTCCCTCTCTGAATATATACATATATATGTGTATATATATGCACATATGAAGTTTTCTTTCTCATCCAAGAAAAGGAAAAACCGAATTTACCCAATATAAACATGAAACCAATTTCAACTCAAAGTAATGGAGGAGAACGCTCATCGCTAGAGCCTTTCTCCTTTATACATATATATACACACACACACACACACACACATATATATATATATGTGTGTGTATAGTTCATAGATATGCAGGCGTACTCCATGTGCGATTTAGCTCTAAATATGGAATGATTTTGTACCTTTCTTTTACGTTAAGACGACAGAGAATGATAAAGGGGAAAGGAGTTTCACTCATTTATTCATACAAATTTATAAGAGAATATATATTCATGCATATTTTTTCAAAATAAATTGTTGAATGTGATCTATTAATTGTGTTACATATGTCTAAATGACAAAAATCTATATATATATATATATATATATATATATCACGGGATTATATTTTCGAATTTTACGTATACCATTACCCGATTGGAATATTTCGATAATTCTCACGTAAATTTTTAAAATCTTCGTTAGCACCCATATCATAATTACCATAGATTTCTCATAAAAATATTAAAACCCTAATCATGAATACGAAAATATTGAGGTGATTTATTTGTATTTTATTATTTATATAACTATTCAATCTCGAATATAAAATTTTAAAAAATTAAACCCAAAATTTATAATAACGAGTAGAGACGAGGGATGGGTGTTTACACAATATATCAATTCTTAAATTTACTCTAGTAGTAAAATTATATATATATATATATATCAAGTAATTACTATTATTCATTTTTTTTTAAATTGAAATTGGATAAAATGTGAGGTGAAAAAAAAATTAACTCCAAATACATGAACAACCGATTAAATTACAGTCTTTGTCATTGACTGAACACAAACTCACACGTGGATTTATTTACAATATAATAATATATATATATATATGTGTGTGTGTGTGTATAAATAGTATGTGATATTATTATATAAAAATGTTATAATATAAAATAAGGTGATTATTAAAAGTATAATTTGAAAGAGGCAACTGGTTTCTGATAAGGGAAAATTTACAACCAAATGGGGTCTTTTCATGGTGCGTATAGGTTGGCCCACTGGACAGGGTTCCCTTTCCTTTTTGCCCGCCTATATGTACACCTTCTTCCCCTTCCACCCATTCCCATCATCACCTGCTTCGTCTTCCTTCTCTCTTCACCTCTTGCAACTCAAGCAACCCCCCCCCAGTGGTCTCCATATCCAGACCTCTGTTGGATGCTTTTTGCTTCCATTGTATTTTAATTACCCTGATCATTACCCACCTCTTCAATCATGTCTGCTATTCGATTGTCTTCAACTCTCAAAATGGAGGACGAAGCATTGGTTACTAAGAAACAGGGGATTATCTCCATTCTTGGTTCTGATTCTGAAAGGTCTTCTTCTTCCTCTGGTTCGCTGAGAAGAACTCTTTCAGCTGACATGTCTTCTAAAAAATGGCTTTCTCAACATGGGTTGAAGAAAACGGCGTCGTCTGAACAATTCCTTGTGTCCATAGCTGACTCCTGTGAAACGGCGTCGTCCGAACAATTCCTCAACTCCTGTAAAACGGCGTCGTCTGAGCAGTTCCTCGTGTCCATCGCTGACTCCTGTTCGTCTGATGACTACGAAGAAACCAGCAAGAAGGAAGTTGAAAACCCAGCTCAATTTGATATATGGAGCTCGATTCTATCCCAGAAATCTCAGCAAGATTCAAACAAAAACCTCCCTGCTCCGTATATTCATCCTCTGGTGAAAAGATCGGCCAGCTCGTTGAGTGAAAAAAGTCTTCAAATCTGCACAGAGAGTCTTGGATCCGAAACCGGGTCTGATGGGTTCTCATCTTATCCGTCTTCTGAAACTGGTGACATGGAGGAAGATAAAGAAGATCAAGATCAACGACATGAACAACAACAGAGCTTTGAAGGTTTTTATGTCGAAAAAGCACCAAGAATTTATACTTCTAAGTACAAGAAATTGCCAGAAAGATCTTTTCCTCCTCCAATTCCTTCTCTGACTCGTCAAGACGGAGCTTCTCTCCGCATGAGAACAGTTCGTGATAATGGCCGGTTGGTTCTTGAAGCTGTCTCTGTTCCTTCACAGAACAACTTTCGTGCAGAACGCCAAGACGGCCGCCTTGTCCTCACCTTCAATTCTCCTGAAATGATCGAACCCGAAGACGAGGACGAGGACGAAGACGAAGACGAATCGTTTCAGTTTGACGAGCTCGAACTCGAAAACTTCGGAGAAGAAGATGAAGAGACCGAAACAGATGAAGAAGAAGAAGAAGAAGAAGAAGAAACAGAGGAGGAAGAAACGAAGTTACCAAGTGGGGTAATAAATTTTCACAGGCTGGCTCTTATGGTGAATAATAAGCCCATGGGTTTGGTAAACAACAGAAACCAAACATGGCCTAAAAAAATTAATGAAATAGTCAAGTTTGAGGAGGATATAGTGATTGACAAACTAGACCCAACAGCCACTCCGCTAGCCCAATCACTTCCTCCGCGTCCGCGCGTCGGTCGGCTTATCCCGTCTCCACGATCTCCGGTAACCGTGACAACGGCCGCCTCGTCGTTGAACGCTTACGAGTACTACTGGAAGAGGCCCAAGCCCATAACCAATGTCTTTAACCCAATTCCCCATCACTCGCCGTCCGGTAAGAATCCAACGACAGGTTACGAACAACAACAACAACAACAACAAGGAGACGGATTGATGGTTTTGCGAGAGAACGAAAAGGGCGAGTACTTGGTGCGGATGACGAAAGGGTGTAAAGAGCCAAGGAGGTCAATTATATTCTGGGAGCCTTACTGCATAGCCACATCTTGAATCTGATCAAGGAAGAAGAATATTTACCCTAAACTAAACTGTTAATTATGATTTTTAAAAATTACTATTACCACACCCACTATGATCTTATTACCCTACATGTTTTTTTTTTTACCTTTTGGTCTCTCCTTGTTTTTCTATGCCCACTCTCATGAGGGGTTTGGCTGTAGTCAAATAAAGCACAAGGGAAGGGAGACAGTGAAGAAAACTACTCTTTGTCTTTGTCTTTTTTGAAGAAATATTTGAAAATAC